AATGCAATTTCTGTGTCTCAGCTAAGCAGGATGAAATCCCCAGACTGGGCACTGGGATACAAACTCTGATCCCACTTCAGATATGGGGAAGCTTTGCTGATGTGAGGTGGGTTTGGGGATGGAATTTTTTCTTGGGGAAGAAGGATGGGGGAAATCTCAGTTGGCACCTTCACCACCATCATCATCATCATCAGCAGCAGCAGCAGCAGCAGGTCTGCTCTTCCCTAACTGACCACGTCTGATGATGCAACCCTTTTTGTATTTCCAAGGATTAAATATGATTTTTTTTTAATCTGCTCTGATGGCATCATTATTTTTATTATTCTCTATTACCCGTAAATAAGATGGAATGAAGAGAAATAAAATACCAGAGTCCAGATGAAACCATAGGGAGCTGGGACTAGAGGAACACAGAAGTTTTAAGAAATGACCTTCCACAATTCCATTTCTCAGACTTGTGCTGTCATGTGAATGCCTTCCTGTTACACAACAGAAATTAAGCAGTTTAGACAAATATATATCAGTGGAGCTACGCCAGGATTTAATTAGGTCTCATGATCCAGATCTTTCAAATTACCTGCCTCTTTCAGTGTGATGAATCCACCTTTTTTGGCCATGACCTTCCAATCTGTGTTGAGTAAACCAAGGCTGCTCAATCTGGGGGTTTTGGTTGCTTGGTGTACAGCCAAGTGTTCAAAGGCTTTGTGAAAGGCACAGAGACTTGTTCAGAGTGCTGGGGAGTTTTTTGAATTTTATTTATTTTTTTGTTCAGAGTGATAAGTAGTTTTATGTTCCCTCTTGGAGGAAGCGAGGGGGTTGCTAGTGGTTAATCAGTGTAGTTCCTTTAATACTTCTTTAATTTGTGATGGGTATAAATAGGGAAGGTCTGTTACAGGAACCAATTGATGTCTTAGAAACTTGGTAAGTTACAAGTTGAAATGTTTACAAAAGTAAATTTTGGTATTTTTTTAACGGCTGCAGTATGTCTGGCGCTTCAAAGCTATCAATGACCAGAAATTAAACATGTGGTAAATATGACTGGAAATAGTAATCATCCATCACTTGTCTGTCCAGAAAAAAACCCAAACCAGCCACCAACTACATTTAAATTCCTTACTTCCCATAACTTCCTGAGTTATTGTACCAGATATTTATTCCCCAGAACAGAAAAGGAGAAAAGGAAAAAAAAAAGCAGCAATTGTTTAAGTTTTGACATTTTCTGGTTTTCCTTCTGACTGTACTGCTCTCACCAGCATTTCAAACATGGTTGTGGTTGTCTTTCATGGTCCACATTCACTGTTCAACTTCTTTCATTAACCCAATACCAGTGTACATAAAAATATCCTGAGATGTTTATGCCTTCTTCTCTGGTTCAGCTTATTGTGTCTGTACCTTCCATGGCAGAATGGAAATATCTTTGTCTGGAGACAGCATGCTTTGGTTGTCTGTCTGAATATATGAAAACACTATATTCCTAAATTATAAGAGCAGATTTGGGGCTGATGTGCAGGAGGGTGAGGTGATTAGGGAATTGGATGTCCAGCACTTTTATTTTTAAGGTCTAACTCCTCCCTTCCATCATCCAGTAGATTACATAATTTACCAGCAGTGAGACTTCTTAAAAACAGAACTCTCCCTTGAGTGGACAAATTTGGTAACATGCAGTAAACTGCTTATTTTGTTAAAAGTAAGGAAGTCTTACTGTAAGCAAAATACCTGAAATTTAATTTCTTGGTGAAAGAACGAGCCAGGTGAGGATTTTCATAAAGTCAAGTAATTTCTTTGTACAATTCTTTGGTTTCAAATGAAATTCTTTGGAAGCTTCCCTCATCAACCACTTGTTGAGATGGCCTCAAAAACCGAGCATTGCAGGTTTATCTCTGGAATTTTATACTTCAGGTACTCTTCTAGTGGAATAGCTAAATTATTTTACTTTACATTTTATTTACTTTGTGATTTCTTTATTATAAAATCCATTCTAAACCATAGCTAGTTTTATTAGTTACTATAATAATCTATTTTTGCATTGCTAAGAGTAGCTTGGGAAGAAATGACCATAATAACTTTCACTCAAGTACACAGTTTTAATTAATAATTGTAAATTATTATAAATTCATTAGTATAAATTCATTATTTTAGCTACAAAAGCAAATACAGATTTCCATTTTTAAGGAGGTAAGCTACTGTACAAGGAGTTTATACCATCTAAATTTTCCAATTTTATCTTTTTATGAAAAGCAGGGAAAGCAATTTGCAAATATTTAAAATGTCAAACTAATGGAAGTATAAATGATGAACAACTTGTAAGGCATGCAAAAGGAGGCCATGGTTTGCTATGGGACTATGGAAAAAGAATGAATAATTCATCAGGATAGAATAAATAAGAATATTTCCATGCAGCAGTTGCAGGTTTGTTTATTGATCTACCTGGTAGAAGTTCTTAAAAGATTCATTATTTAGCACAAGCTAGAAAATGTAATATACCCAAAACACTGGAAATACTTTATTTCTGGCTGTGGGACTTCATTGCCAATCAGGGAAGAAAATCCCAAACAAACATGAAAACGGAAAAAAAAAAAAGCCCCAATGAATTGCATAATGAAGGGCAGAAATGGAGGTTTCTGTAACACCTGAGAGTGTTGCAGAATGCCTGTAACTGCAGAATTCTTACAGTTATGGAAAGGCACTGCAGCTGTCAGTGACACTGCCCTGCTGCTGTGGCCACGCAGACTCTGAGCCCTCCCTCCTTCCTCTCACAGGTGCAGGGCAGGGGAGATGCAGAAATGAAATGAAAATGTTACTTTTAGGTGTATTTCTTACAAAGCCATTTTATGACAGCAAATGGCTAACAGTTGTAACTTTAACCCTTTTCTCCCTGCATGTTGGAATAGTCATTATTTCCCCCTCCCCCTCTATTTTTAAACTAAATTTGCCATTTTATTTTTTAAAAGATAATTTTTAAAGTGGGAAAGGGTGTCAGCAGCAGGGTAGGGTGCTGTATCCCTGTGGGAGCTCTTCATCCCAAGGACACGTCCCATGGCCAGTGAGGTGGCTCAGCCCAGGGCACTCGGGGATGATGGTGCTGTAATAAAGCCCATCAGTGCCCCTTTAATGAGCTGCTCCTCCTTGGTCAGCCACTGCAGCTCAGGCTCTTTTGGGCATTTGGAGATGCTCAGGCTTTTAACATCATCGATTTTCTCCATCACTGGTGCTGCTGTTGTCATCCTTCATCCAGAAAACCTGCAGAAGTGCATCCAACATGCTCCACTCAGACTGTGCCTGTCGTGGGTTTATTGCATGTTGATGCTTAAAGAGCTTGTATTTCCTTAGAAGAAACCAACAACAACAAAACAAAAAGAAACCAAACCAAACAACAGCAAACCAACAGCTTTTACTCCTGTTTTCCTTCAGAAATGGGTATGATAGCAAAGTAATGATTAGACATGAGTGGCAGTGGCTGGCAGAGCACCAGCTTTTTTGGCCCCAGCTTCCCAAGCTGCTCTGGCTGCTTTGTGGTGGCCTCTCCCTGCATCATCTGTGATTATGATTCCAAAGTGTTTGCTGCATCCAGCTCACCTGGCTGGCTTTCCCTGTCAGCTGCAATTCCACAGTGTTCTAGCACTGATCCTTGAATAGATAATACCCTTTATGAGAGGATTTTTTTTTTGTGAATCAAAGCCTTGCAAAAAGGTTTTGAAAGCCAGCACCTTTTGCAGACTTTATATTTGAGTGATACATTCTGGACTTTTCCAAAGAACATTGAGCTTGGATGCTAAATATCTTACTGCTAGTTGTTCAGAACTTTAATTCTAAAACGCAGCTTAAGCCATTGAAGAAATCTGTGGTGATTAACTGAGTGTTTCCTTTCTGCTTCGTTGAAAAAGGTCATCCCTCCTTTTGTGCCAGTTTTCAGATCTTTCCAGCATTATTCTTTCCTTTCCTAGGTATTGTGCCAAACACCTGGAAATGCAATTTCCAGATCTGCATCTTTAGGGTATGGAGTGTGAGTGCACAATAAATAGAGTGATCATTTAATATCTGTGTGTTCTGCAGGGCAGGCTTTGGCAGGTCATTAGTAACCTGCCAGTGGCTCTGGGAGCATTCTGTGTGCTCCAGTACTTTCACACAAGATTTTGAGCATTTATAGGTGATTCAGCCTCATGCCCTACAGAAACACATTGCAGGAAGGAAGAATGCTAGAAATTAAAAGTAATTGAGGTTCCAACACATGACAACAGAAGCAGTTTGGCTTCTCTTTTCTGTGACAATCTCCTGCGTGTAAATTGCCAGGAGCAATATTCTTTACTCGCTTATTCCAGCTGAAGGATTTGCAAAGGTAACTAATTTCATCCTCTGATTCATTCCTTAGAAATCCCTTTTTTCTCTTCCCTTCCAAAAACGTAACCTGAATTCCTCTAATTTGTCATGGTGGTTATTTTTGGGGTTGGTAAAAACTTGAGCATTACCAGCAGAATCATGAGCCTCCCTTCTTGTACTGTTTATAACAGAGCCCTGTTTTGAAGCTTCTTCTTGTTGTGGAAAAATATTACAGGCTGCTGAAATTATCTTTAAAGTGCTTAGAAATTGCTGATAAAATGCATAAATTACTTTCTTTATGCTCTGTGTATATCCTTGTGCATGTGTGAGACTGTTCATACACTTAAGTATGCAAGTTACATTCAAGCAATGCAAGTTACACTACTGGTGCATGTAGAAACACTCAGATACAACATTTTTAAAATATAGTCAACATTTGTCTAATTGGCCTGTGCTATCTCTGGCACCCCTCCTCTCAACACACATTTGTTATTTCAACAAATCATGGTACTTGTATGGACAAAAAGCTAAACACTTTGAATTTACCTTCAGATGAAACAATGGCATAATAACATATCCAGAGAATTACTTTCTGCACTTTGGTCAGGTCTGGGGATTTTTGAGGGGGGGTTTAATGCCTACCATGCAATGACAAAGGTTTATTCTCCCTTTGTTCTTTTCAGAGTGCTGCAGCAGCTCCCAGCCCAGTGCTAGGAAACATTCCCCCAGGAGATGGCATGCCAGTAGGTCCAGTACCACCGGGGTTTTTTCAGGTATTCAGAAAAAAAATTATCATTACAGGAATTCTAGGATAGAAAATCCTCTGTAATACTGTTTGCAGAAAAGGTCCTGCTCTGAACTATGTCTCACTGTGTGGTGCAATATTTGAGAGTTTATTTTTAAACAGAAGTGGACAGGTGGGAAGGAAGGGACCTGACTGACAAGTATTTAATTTATGAAATAGTACAGAACAAGAAATGGTGCCAGTTTTTTAGCAGATTGAAAATGCCTGAGTACAATATTAAAATAATTTCTTGCAATAATATACATAACATTCCATGGAAATTTTAAAGTCAGAATGTTGTTGGTTGTGTTCAGCTCTGTGCTAAAGCCACGGGCCAGGTTCCTGAGCTTGTGTGGGAATTCAGCCTGAGCAATGCAGAATGTCCCAGTGAGCATTGCCCTGCACCTTGAAGATCTCAGCCCAAGTGCCTAAAAAGTTTAATCAGGGATTAAATCAGGGATGTAATCAGGGATTTACACCTTGTGCTGCTTCTGTTCAGTTTTGTCCTACGTGGAGCTGAACACCCATTTATGACTTTGGGCAGTAACAGCACAGGATACGATGGTGGCAGAAATGACATTTTAGTGCAAGGCCAGCGTGGTGTTTGTGACCTGAGGCTGCACTGCTCCCAGGCTGGGCTTACATCTCCTCCTCGCCAAGACTTGGTTGTTTTCCTCCACACTGGCAAACTGAGGTTTGATTTGTAACACATGAAAAGATACTTGGAAGTGAAGTGGAAAATATCTGGCTGCTGCCAGTCACAAAATTCTCGGGAGCTGGCAGAACTCATTAATTAATTTATTTCTGCTTTTAGTGCTTTGAGCAGCTGGTTAGGGAGGCTCTTTTGCACATAATTTTTGTCTCAATTTTTAGATCATATCAATATTTTGCCTTTATTTTATTTTATTTTATTTTTTTTACTTCAGCCTCCCACTTCAGCTGTGATGTCAGAGGAATTAACTTTTTTTGTTATTGTCTATGACGACTACTAGGATGGGGAAGGGGCACAGATAGGACAAGTGTGTGAAGTACAGAGGAGAGAGTAACTATTTTAAAGGTTGTGCAGAAGGAGGATGTGGGAGTTTTGTTTTTAGAAGCGTGAATAGACTTCTAGCCACTCCAGATCTTTGAAGATATAAGAAAGACAAGCTGATAGAAAGTTGAGTGCGGGTAAAATCTCATTGTATGCCAGTATCTGGCTTGAGTCTGATCTGAAGCCACAATGACATCCTGCTCTTTTTGCGAGGCCTGAGAGTGAAAAGGAACATTTTTTCAAGACATTGTTAATCCTTGCTGTAGTTGTGTGCCTAAAAATACACGAGTTTGGAAATCAGGTGTGGTAGTGGATGCGCTGATGTGTTCGGGAGCAATCCCAGCAAGGGGAGCTCAGCCAGAATCCAGAGGGTTCCATCCCAGTGAGAGCCTGAGGTGTGAGTGCAGACAGCCCTGCTGCTGCAGTGTTGTCAGGCAGCACTTAGTGCCAGGCTCTGAAACCTTCATCAGAGCTCAGCCTCACCAAGGTCAGCTCGCCTCAAGACAAGAAAATGTGCTGGCAGACAGAGCCTGCGTGTGTGAAACTTGAAAATGGAGGGCTATCATCTGCTGCTGTGAAACACAGGTGAAATCACAGGCAAGAAATGGAAACTCACGGTGAAATCCTCCTCCTTTCGTCATGGGTGCTGCTGTAGACCTGTACCTGAGGCACTTTCTCCATCCTCTCCTGCAATTCTTCTGGTCCCAGGGTAAAACAAACCCCAGAGAACAGGTTCATCTCTCTTGCTCTGAGAGCTGGCTGCCTTTATTCTTCTCCCCCCAGCAGTTTGGAGCCGAGACCTGCCCCTCACTCCTTTATGACAGCAAACAGTTCGTTCTCCAGAGTCAGACCACATGGGCAGAGCTGGAGAGAGGTGCTTGTGTCTATATTTAGTGCACTGAGACTTTGCTCCACAAAGGCCTCGTAACATTTTAATTCCTTTAACCCGAAATTTATCTGGAAGGTCACCCTGGAATGATAAGGGTGCCTGTTGTTGCTTTCAGGGAGTTGTTTGGGTTAGGCTGAGCTGAAGCTGCTGACAGCCAGCACCTGCCAGCTCTGCTTGCAGAACTCAGGGGTCACAAATGATTTGAAGCAATTTCTTCCCTCTTGGTTTTGTACTCCTGTTTTGGATGGGCACCCACAGGGACATAAGCAAAGTGGGGTCACTGCTGCTGCAGTGGGTTCTTATCAGATCAGGGGAATGTCACAGTCCAGGGGGGAAAATGTGTTGGGAATGAAGAAACACCAACAGGCTTTGCTTTTGGTTGGCACTGTTGACCTCTAACATGATTTTTCAGACATTTACTTTTTATAGAACAAAATAAAGATATTTTATTTTTTAAAAATAATGCTGTCTGCTGGTATAGCACTTGGAGGTAGAGAAATACTGGAGAATTGCTGTTTCTCAGACAGTATGTGGCAAAACTCTGCTCTTTGTAAAAGGTTTTCTCATGCAGGTAGAGCGTTAGCACTGATGTTAATTAGCAACCTGTGGCATTTCATGCCTGGTCCACAGAGGTAGAAGTTCTGAGGCCAGCAGCTGAATTTGTCTTGTATCTCTGTGTAGTTGAACTTTAATGCTTCAGTTCAGGTGAGGGATGATGGTCACTGCACTGCTGACTGTCCAGAAAAAATGGCCCAGTGCAGGGAAGGTGGTGGAGTTGTTCCCAGCTATTGTCATCAAATAAATGAGTTTTTTGGGAGTTTTGTTTGTTTGTGGGTTTTCTAGTTTTCAAGAGAAATTGTTTGCAGTGTCAAAAGTCAAATGTGAAAGTCAGTGTTTATGTGGAGTTAGGATGTGCCTCAGTTCCCTCACTGCTGTCTTTGTGTTTGAATGTAACTTTAAGTTCATAGACACATACTTTTTGTCTTCATCTTCTCTCAGACTGAGCAGCAGTGGGACTCTGGAAATAACTCGGTGTGAAACAGAGCCTGAAGCTGCTCTTGGTTCGTTAGCAGCAGCACTTGAATGTGTGGGGCACAACACCTCTGCCGTACAGGACTCTTTAACCCCAAGTATTATAACCCAAACAGCTGCTTTGGGCAACAGAAGTCATGAAACTATACTAGATTGCATACAAGCGAGATGATTTTATTTGTGCATGTCTGAAATGCCCAACCAGCCCCAGCCTGAGTCTGGAAAAGTCTTCTTTTTCCCATCTGTAACATTCTGGACATGGAACTAAGGTGTGAGGAAGGCACTTAGCTACTGTGATAATAAAATAAAGTAATTTGGGACATTTTCTGTGTCATTATTAGACATTTTTAGTCCACTTCATTTGTTAGTTTCTTCATATGGCCAGTCTTGGATATCAGCATGACCTGTGCTCTCTGTCCCTGGTTCTGGAGTCCTGTCTGACCCTGGCATAGTAACTGAGCAACTGAAAGGTTGAATAAGATCATAATAAATAATTACCTCTGGGTCTAATGTTAGTGGATGTATATAATGTCAGCAGCCACAGCTTTACACAAGGCTCTTACAAACTCATTTACAGTGAGTTAAATCTTCCACTTGTGATCAAAGAAGTTCAGGTCATACAATTCAGAGTCTTTGAGCTTTCCACATCCAGTCTTGCAATTGCTGCTCTTCAGGTACTGAGGACCATTTCCATCCCTCTCTTCACTGATGTTTTAAGGCAGCTAAATAATTTGAGAGATGTCACATTTGTGTTTTTGCAGACTGTTTATTTGATCTTTGTGGACAATGTTGTTATTAGTAAGCAAATGAGCGGAGGCCAGAGGGAAGTGTGTTCATTGAGGTGTTTGGAGTTTTTAAACAGAATGTAAACTATTGATTTCACAGGATTTTGTTTGCCTTTTAGTTAAATTTCCAGTTTTAGCACTCCTAAATGCAGAGTTTAGAACAGAGGACCATGGAATGGTTTGGAAGGGACCTTAAAGCCCCTCCTGTTCCAACCCCAGGTCTGGGCAGGGGCACCTTACCTTCACTGGTTCTCCAAGTTACTGACTCCCAGCGCTGCCCAGAGCCTGACTCTGGCTGCTGCTTTTGCACTGCAATTAGGAGAAACTTCAATGTATGTTTAATTAAACCTCAGTTGTCCTCAGCTCCTGTATTCCATGGCTGCCCAAAGGTTTGGCTGTGTGACGAGCGTGACTGCCTTTAGAGGCACTCACCTGGAGACCCTGCTGGCAGCTGTACGGGAAGCAGGTTGTTTTCCAATTGACAGTTCACTTGTTTAATTTGGTAATTCTGTTAAAAGTCAAATTCTAGCACTTGTCTGTACCTTTTCACACATAAGCGAAGCGCCCGTTCTTTTAAACACATTCTTTTTTTCAACACATTTGTTAAAATCTCTTCAAGTTCAACTTACCACTAAACATTATTTCTGTGGTGCCTGTATTTTCTAAAGGGCTTTTCAAGTGGTTGGCTTCGTTCACCAACTTCAGATCACCAGATAAACTTGGAATGGCATGGGAGAGAAGTGTCGACACCATGTTCGAAATACAAATGTTACATATTCCTCTTATATAAAGGGGGAAAAAAAACCCAACCCAAACCCAGCCCTGAAAAGTTATGTGAGCTTGCCTTGCCATCTAGTGGCAGCTGCTCCTGCTCTTTTTAGCTCAATACATATTATTCTCAAGTATTATTTTTAGCCTTGTTTGCCATAGTAGAGCTGACCTAATGCTTCAGGAGAGTGTTATTACAGTAAGGCACATGAGCAGAAAGGACTTTTATTTTCCTGCCCAGCCTTACTATTTGAGATATAAATACATATCTCAAACAGTAAGGCTGGGCAGGAAAATAAATAAATAAATATGTATATATAAACATTTATATTTATTATATATGAATGCATTACAAATATATGTCTACCATATGTAAATAAATATAAATCAAAATTTATCACCTAGTTAAGTGAGAATAAGCAAAGTCAGCAAATTAAAAATTAGTAACATGCATCTCCTGCATTTTGAGGCAGAAATGGTGA